TAGAGATTTTTTTATTGATAAAGGTAGATAATCTTATAAGGAATCTTGTGTTTCATTTTCAAATCTTAGATTTAAAAAGAAAAATTTTTACGAATTCTTAACTCAAAATAATTTGCTAATTTTCGTGATTTTTCCATATTTTGTCAATTTTTGAACTTTAAATGCTTATAAAAAAAAATTGTGACTAAGGATTTTTAATATTTTTCATCTGCCTTTGAAACAACATATTAGGAGCCTTCTATTAAATTTTCAAGCTTTCGCAACCAACAAATAAAATTTTATTGATATTTCTAGAAAAAAAACTAAAATAAAATGAAAAATGAAAATGTCCCTAAACAGTTCAAAATAAATCAAAATATTTTGAAAATGTTATCGTGTATAGAAAATGCAAATATAAACAACCAGTGAAAATTTCATGTATCTACGGTCATTTGTTTTAAAGTTACACCAATAACCAAATTCGATTTTTTGGAAAATCGATTTTGCTTAAAAATTCCCGTTTTTCCTTAATTTTTATGTTGTTTTTCCCGGCGCTTGTGAAAACTACTGGAAAATGTTTACTTTTGACCCCCCAAAGTACCAACTAGATTCACTTTCCTATCAGAAAAGGTACTATTGAAGAAAATCGAAGCACTTTTACTGTCCCAAAACGTGATGACAGACACAAAAATATAAATAAAAATATAAATAAAAATATAAATAAAAATATAAAAATATAAAAACATACATCATTGTAAAACCAATACATTCATCGCTCCGCTCAGAATCTAAAAAAAAAAAAAAACACATCATTGTAAAATCAATACATTCATCGTTTCACTCAGAATCTAAAAAAAAACTAAAAAAATTGAAAACTGAAAATGTCCCTAAACAGCTCAAAAAGAGTCAAAATATTTTCAAAATTGTATGGTGTATAGAAAATGCTTATTTAAACATTCAGTGAAATTTTCATGTATATACAGTTGTTCGTTTTTGAATTACAACAAAATAAGGAAATCGCTACATGAGAAATCGAGTGAATATCCAATGTTGTAAAAATTTTAATTTCAAACGCTCATAAAAATTTAACTTGACTGTCCGGTAGAGATTTTTTTATTGATTAAGGTAGACATACTTATGAGTAATCTTGTATTACATTTTCAAATCTTAGATTTAAAAGGAAAAATTTTTACGAATTCTTAACTCAAAATAATTTGCTAATTTTCGTGATTTTTCCATATTTTGTCAATTTTTGAACTTTAAATGCTTATTAAAAAAAACTGGGACTAAGGATTTTTAATATTTTTAAAATGCCATTATAACAATATAGTAGGAGCCTTGTATTAAATTTTCAAGCTTTCGCAACCAACAAATAAAATTTTATTGATATTTCTAGAAAAAAAACTAAAAAAAAATGAAAAATGAAAATGTCCCTAAACAGTTTAAAATAAATCAAAATATTTTGAAAATGTTATCGTGTATAGAAAATGCAAATCTAAACAACCAGTGAAAATTTCATGTATCTACGGTCATTTGTTTTAAAGTTACACCAAAAACCAAATTCGATTTTTTGGAAAATCGATTTTGCGTAAAAATTCCCATTTTTCCTTAATTTTTATGTTGTTTTTCCCGGCGCTTGTGAAAACTACTGGAAAATGTTTACTTTTGACCCCCCAAAGTACCAACTAGATTCACTTTCCTATCAGAAAAGGTACTATTGAAGAAAATCGAAGCACTTTTACTGTCCCAAAACGTGATGACAGACACAAAAATATAAAAATATAAAAATATAAAAACACACATCATTGTAAAACCAATACATTCATCGCTCCGCTCAGAATCTAAAACACACATCATTGTAAAATCAATACATTCATCGTTTCACTCAGAATCTAAAAATAAAAATAAATATTTATTATGTTTTTACTGAGCAGATAAACCCTGACTCCAGACGACATTATTGTTGATACGTGTAGACACTAAGGTAGGTACCTATATACATACACACAAGTTACAACATATTACATGCAATTAGGTAAAGATAAGATAAGCTATTTATCTAAATCCAAATTGTGTATTGCATTGTTGATTTTTGTCGATTTATTTAGTTTAGTTTTGTTTGTTCCACTAACTTTTTGAAAATGCCTAATGCCAAAACATCAGATGTTTGTCGTTTGAGTTCATACGTTCAACAATATGGAGAATCAATTTTTTCTACGGCTGGAAGCGTAATATTTTGTGAGGTCAGAGTGGCAGCCGACAAAACACTTACTATGACACAACATGTGGGTAGAGACGTAGAGTCGTAGAGAAAAACATTTAGGTGCACTAGAACTTAAAAAAAAATAGAAAAAGTTAAGTTGTTTAGACATTATTCAATACGGTGCCAAAAATAACGCATTTACTAGGTACATACATTTTTTATAATAGGTAATGTGTTTTTATAAGTTTTAAGTTCAAAATTGTGTTTTTATTGAATTTAAAAGCATTTGAAAGGTTTTAAGGCATTAATTCGTATTTTTTTATGACATTAAAGTCCGTTCGATAATTATTATTAACAAATAGGTAAATCAACAGGTCAAAAATACATAGCATATACGAGTCTAAAGACTTATATAATAGGTTTTACATTTTTATTATGTATTGATTAACCTGCATTGGTTTAAAATTTAAAATAATTAACGTATATATTTTCGTCCGGTGTATGTTAAATGTTAAGTGGTGGAATTTTCCAAACAAAATTTTTAAAGTTTTTATTTTGTTGTTTACCTAGCTATATGTAAAAGTATATTTGAAAGTTTTCATGCAAAAATTACTAGTGCTGATCAATTTGAAATTTTTTTTGGCTGTTACCGATTGTTGACAATGCTGACAGAAAACTGTTGTATTTACCTATTTAAAATATTAAAATTCTCACCAGCATATTGTAAGACTCAATCTATTTTCTGATTGATAGATAGGTACCGGTTTTCAATTTGGAACTTTAAGCATTTAAAATATTTAAAAAAGGTTCAACACTCACCAAATTATAAAATAATTTGTTGGTCAAAAGGCACGTATAAATCTATTAGCAATTAGTAGTGGTTGTGAACTTGTGACATGTGATGTTGTTTTATATATTTTATTTTATTTTAAATCAATATGATATTTATATAAGTAAAATAATCATTTACTAAACATTTTACCTCCTATAGGTAAAATTGGCTTCATTTGATTATTTAAATTCAAATTGTTTGTATCGACACAAATATTTTTACCTTTTGCGATGGAATTCAAAATTGGTATTTATCTAGTTGATAAAATTATCTATTAAGATAAAGTTTGAAAATACGTACCTACATCGTACATAGGTAATCATCATTACAAACCGATAAAAAATTTAAACGTGGACGTATACGTTGTGCCATGTGTGATGTGAGTTATAAAAAACAGCATATATATGGCAGCATATAATATAGTGTTGAGTGAAATATTATCACAGTTTAATAGAGATGTAGTAAATATCTAAAAATTTGGTATTAATATACCTATATAGGTTTAAAAACCTAAATTAATTTCTTAATAGAATAATAATTTGATTATTTTTAACAAAGCCAATTATCAACAAAAAATGTATCTTAGGTACCTACACAGATGATAAGAAAAAATGAGTAAGTAAATAAAATTCCCAAATTTGGTTTGTCAGCCTATATCTATTAATATGTTGAATTAATTATTGTCAAAAAAATTACATTTGAAAATGTCATTGTGAGTATACAAATAATAATTAATAATAATATGTACTTTAAAAGTTCCAAGTACCCGCGAATAATATTTTAAATTACAACATAAAATCGTTATTCTTCGTTTAAATATCTAATTTTAACTTAAAATATCTGTAAAAAAAACTGTTTATATATTTTTTAGATATTTTGGAAACAGTATGAATTATTTATGAGAATCTTTGTTTTCAGTTTTTAATCCTTATTTATAAAAATTGAACATTTTATAATTTTTTCAAAGTTTAAACTTTTAACACTCATTAAAAAAAAAATCGTGTCTATGGATCTTTAATATTTCACAGCTGCTATCATAACAACTTATGAGGATTCTTGAACTGCATATCCAAGCATTTTGAGCCAACCAAAACATTTTTATTGACATTTATAAAAAAAAATGTTAATAATTTAATTGAAAAAGTGTCAACATTTTATCGTGTACCCACCTATAGAAAATTATAAAATAAGCAATTAGGGAAAATTGTATGTATCCACATAATTAATAGTTTTTTAATTAAAACAAAATCAGAAAATCGTTCATTCCACCCTATCGGAAAATACTAATACTATAACATATGGGAGAAATTTAAAGGATCGACACAGTCAATCGTTTTTGAATTAGGTACCTACACGGCTACACCAAAACAATAAAATCGTATTTGTCCAAAATTGGTATTGGTTCGCTCTGAATCTAACGTATCAAGAATCATAGTCCTCACATACTGTAGGTATTATTTTGTTTATAATTTACTATTTGGATAATTAATTTAAATAACTTTATAAATGCTACGTTTTTTTCTAAAAAAAGAATTTATTTTAAAACTTGTATTAATATTGTTTTGTTTTTAATTTTGTTACACTAATTAGTCATAGTGTTAAGTGTATTAAATAAGCGCCCAACATCCAACCACCAGCCAACTCACGCACCCACTATAGGATCACCGCCACTGCCTCCATATACTCCTATGTTACCTATTTACCTATTTACCTATGTATATAATATATATGGTTATATTATTATGGTACTCCACCCCTAAAAAATTTAATTGTTATGAACCTACCTCACTATCTTTAATCTTCAATTTTTTATTCTAAAAATGTTTACATAAATTGTAAATCATAGTAGGTACAATTAATGATAATATGGAAATGCACTTAGTATTAAACTATTAACCTAGAAAAAATAAAGTTTTTTAATAACAAAAACAAAAATATTATAACATAATATCATAGTTATTAAATAATTATTTATGTTTTTAATAGAAACTGAATCATTCAAATATCATACGATGTCTGTGGTGGGATTTTTCGGATTTTGAACTGAAAATTGGCTTGGAACTGGCTACCGGTGGAGATCTAAGACGGATCATCCGTGAGCATTATGATAAGTTTAATCTAATTAAAGAACCTATCATTTGGTCTTGCGCCGTCCAATTGTCCAGTGCACTTTATCACATGCACAAATCAAGAATCATGCACCGAGGTACCTACTTGTAATGCATCTTATTTTCTCCGATTGAATACTTTTAAAATCCATTTCATATAAAGGCCCACATTATAAATGGGCCGTGTCACTTCGCAGGTTTAACAGTATTAGCATGTAATAATGCGTACTTATTCGGTTGTCTGTACCGAGTGTACCAATGTCGTACACGAGCGGTACTCTGCGCCGGTACGTCCATCATTCATCAATAGTCAATACCAATAATTTTAAAATTATTCATATTATGTAAGCATTTTAAATAAATATTCACCGGCCCACTAAATCCAAAGTAAATATTTTAAGGTACAGCGAAAGCTTCAGCCTTGAACATTCCCATGAGGCTCGTAGTCTTATCTTATTTATCTAGGTACCTAAATGTCAGTAAATTTAAAATATCAATTGTTATGCTTATATTAATATAAACTGTATTAATATTAATTATACTATAGCTTATAATCCACATATCCTTGATGACATTAAACATTTGAACATAATTTTAATGAATTAAATTAAAACGTAGGTAGTTGTTTTTATAGTGAATTAAATTATTTAATTAGGTACTTACTGAGTATTTTTCTTAAGTATGAAGATTTTTTTCTAATTCGTAGAAAAGCTAATTATTGTTACAAATTCAAATTATCGACATTTTATTTTTTTTAATATAAGATACCTACTATTTAAAATTAACAATTGTATATTAATTGTATGTATACAAAAATACAAAATGTATATACTCGCAATTCGCGTATACTCTGTCGTTAAGCTGTGTGTATTGCTCATGTGCAGACATCAAACCGGCCAACATTTTCGTGTACGGATTGAAAGAAGAAAAGAAATTGCTGTACGAGAGGTGGAAAAATGTGAAGATCAAGCTCGGTGACTTTGGATTTAGCAAAGACATTACGAACGGTCTGGATATGACCTGCCGGTCGGTGCTGGGATCTCCGCTGTACATGAGCCCCGAGAGGATGTTACACCAAAAGTATTACTTTGATAGCGACATATGGTCAATGGCTTGTGTCATGTACGAGGTACGCAACACTATACTAATTAATAGCACAATAATGTAGACATGTAGTATAATAAGCAGGATCGAGGATTTACAATAATCATATAAACACTGAACTTCTAGACAAACGAGTATCAGAGTATCCTTTATAAATTTAGCAACTAGCGCAATTTGAAAATTAGGATATAAATAATATCGATAGATATGCCTATTATATTTTTACTTACTTACTTACTTACGTACTTACTTATAAGTGTTAAGACTGAACATTTTATTATAAAAGCAAAATTAATGTTTAAATGTATATTAGGCTTGGGCAATTGATTTAGTAGGTATAGGCAGATAGGTACCTACTTAGTACTTACATGGGCTAGATGTGGTGTCATTTCAATTTTTTTTTCAATACGCATATTTTTATGCAAGCGGCAAACCTTGTCTAGAATTTATCCATTTTTCAGGCCAACTAATTGGCCCAATCACAATAATAATTAATATTAAATTATAAACACACAAAATGTATGCCATACGCTGTTCAGATGACGCCACTGGGCTAGTCCTAAAAAATTAAAGTCCAAAAAAGGCTATAGGTATTAGGCAGTCAAAAGGACTCGACTCGTTTTTAAAAAATATTTCTCAAAAATCAAATGCAAACAATAAAATAAGTATTTAGTGCTTACTTTTTACTCTATACAGCCTACAGTAAGCTCATTTTAATATTTTATAACGTTATATGTTTTACAGTGTATTTAGAATCGAATACATTTAATAATAATTTATCATTAATATTATTATCTTTCTATAGGTTTAGTACTTACCTATATAAATAGGTCGTGTTCTAATTTACGTGCTTCACGTACCATATTTTAATGTAGGTATTATTGTATTAACCATTATAGATAGGTACCTACCTACTATTTTAGTGATGATACAGGTGGTATGAACAATACTGTGTTTGACTAGGCAATCAATATTAATATATTTTATTTTATACTAAAGCCGATCGTATAGAACGTACAAAATTGAAAATAGTAGAATCCTGGGACCACTCAGTTTTTATTAAAATGTGTACTATAGGTGACATGTACTATGAAAGCAACCTAAACCTTTTGCACAAAGTTGTGGAAGTAAATCAATTTTTGTAAACTAATTTGTTATCCTAGAAAAAAAATTAACTAAAATAAATTCAAGTTAGTTTTTATGTAGAAATTAATTTTAGTACCTACCTACCTTACCTACACTTGTATTGTTAAATTTAAATTTTTCATGATGATAATAATTTGTGTTAAGTTAATCTTATTTTTTAAATTAAACGCATGGAAAATTAGGTACTTGTTAATTATTGATATCGTCTTAAATTTGGTAGGTACAGCACAATATCTTGATAAATTTCGTAGTGTTTTTATTTTTTCGATAGCACTAACCAATAGTTTTTAACAATTAAATGAGAAAAACAGAAAAACCTAATGTTCTCGAACTGATAATTTTAAATGTATTTATGTTATCCTAATAATAAAAAGACTGCGACACAGATAAATTCTTCCTTATGCGCTGTGGAATTTTAGTAATTCTACTATAATTGCTGAGGGAGTAAAATTGTTCTGCGAAAAACAGATTTTGGTATGTTGTAGGTACATTTGTAAGACGGAGACAACACATGGGGGTGTGACAATCTCTTAATTTAATGTAATTACCAATTAGTAGTTATGAACAACGTATCATGGGCAAGGGACCGTGGCCGTACACACTAAGCACTGCTTACATTGACAATGAAGGAATGAATTTACAAAACTTACTCGAGTGGGTAGACGAAAAATAAATGTAAAAAGCAAACAGATCTTTATACAAAAAATTTAGTTTTTAGAAAATAACTTCAATTATAATCAAGTTTAGAAAAAAGTTATTAAAAAAAAGTAACTTAACTAGCTATTACCCAGCTTTGCAGTTAGTAGTTTATATCTTCACAAGCTTAATTAAGATCAAGGTGTGTAGTCACCATCATACAAACGGTAAGACATATTATAAAATTTGATTCAGTAGAACCAATTTTGTGTTGTAATTTGTTAACTAATACATTTTAGAGTGATTCCATTTTCAAACTTAAAGGTAATAACTAGGGTTCGGATTTGAAAGCAAATGCCTTTCTTTTATTAATCATAATAGAAAAATAATTTTTATACAAAAATGTGTTTCATTTAATTTCTTAGAGAATGGATCTTTTTTTTTTTTGCCTTTTTACTTATAAATGTCTTTTTGCCTTTTTTTTACCTTTTGTTTATTTTGCATTAAATTAACTGGTATAACTCAAGTAAGTTAATATTTAAAATTGTTTTTAACTAATTCTTAGGACAAACCTGGTTAAAGAAAAAGGTACCTAATCTATTTATACAAAATAGCATAGACTTAATGTAGTTTAGTATTCATGCTCATTTTTAATTTGTATTTTTCTCAAAATGTGTGCATTTAAAAGTGTTTAAAAAATGTTCACTATTTTATTTTGTAGTATATTTATGAATTGCCTTTTTATATAAATTAAATGCTTTTTTTATTGATTATATTGCCTTCAAATCCGAACCCTAGTAATAACATAATCAGTTATCTCTTGTTGATATTTTAACTTTCAATAATTTATGAGTAAATATAGGTATGTAAAATATAAAAATGTTCATAACTCACTTAAAAATTTAAATATTGTAAAAAAAATCCAAGAGAGCACATGAATAATGTACTTACCTGTGAATTTGATCACAGAGCTGACACAAAATTTACTTATTTAACATTGTTTTTTTGAATGAATCAAATATTTATAAAACAGCTTTATACTGCCCATATAGTAGTATATTATTTCACAACTATATTATCACAATTTCAGATTTTGACCTAATAAATTTTCAATTTGATAAATTATGTCAAAATTTAAACTTTAAAAGCTTATAAAGACAAATACTGCCTATAGATTTTAATATGTTTAAGGTGATATTGTAACAATGTGTAAGGGCTTTGTATTAAATTTTCAATCACTTTGACATTTGACCCTACAAATAAAATGTGGTTGACATTAAAAAAAAAAAAAAAATTTAAAATGTCCGCAAGCAACTCGAAACGAGTCAAAATATTTCAAACATTTTATCAAGTATAGATAATGGTAAAATAAACATTTGGTGTAAATTTTGAGTGTAAATGGTGTCTACGGTCATGCGTTTTTGAATTGCAACAAAATCGCTACATGAGAAAAATAATGAACATCCAATGTTGTAAAAATATGAACTTCAAAAGCTCATAAGAATTTAATTTGACTTCCCGGTAGACAACTTATAATATTATAGTATAATTTCTCAACTATATTAGCACAATTTCAGATTTTTAAGCTGAAGTACTATCAATAATTAAATAGAAAAGTTTCACACTGTCACATCATATGCGATGCATGTACCTATATTTTATAGGGTGGTAGGAATGTAGGATAGGTAGGTTCTATTACTTGATGTAATATTACGAGAAGTCAACAAAATATATTCATCGTTTTTATCTGAGTCCCTTTCCTACATTTAATAATAAATATACTTAATATAATACATTTTATACAATTATTAATTATCACTTATTACGAAAATTAAAAATATTTATCTATTTATACCTACCAACAACTGTAAATTGTAAATTGTTCAAAATCCGTTTGTAAGACAATACATTAGACAAATCTAGTTCAATATAAATTATTGGTATATTTTCAATCTATTCTGCTCCAAGGAAGTTTGAAGAAAACTATTAACCTTCATCGTTGTAAAAATTAACCTTTTACATGCCGCAGAGTTTATCAGAAATGTAAAGATAATGAAAACAGTTTAAAAAAATTAGAATAAACCATAGCATATATGATTAACTTTATATCTGCAACATAGTATTTCTATGTGAAATTGTGATATATTTTTTCATCACAAAAATGTCTTAATCAATCATTTTTTTTTTTCATAATTGCTAAAATATTAAATAATTAGATGAATAAAAAAAACCATGTTTACCATACATTAGATAATTAATTGAATACTTATATTTCATTCTTAAATTACAATATTTTGTGTAGGAAATAGGTACATATTTGTGGGGACTAAGCTCCTAAATTGTGCCTATGATACTATGTTAGGTATATAATATAAGGTGTACCGCTCCTATAAATGTTTTCTAACACATAGGTAGTTAACATTTTATTCAATACAGATTTGTACAAAATGTTTAATATTTAAAAATTGTATGTAGTGTAATATGTTAATTATTTTAGGTAGTATTTAGTACTTTAAGTATTTTTAGTATATTATAATTAAATAAATAATTGATTTAAGTTATAAATAGGTACTTCTTCAAATAAATAAAAATATATCAAAATAATATTAGTTATAATATTTTTCCTATAGATGTATAATTGAGCTTTGTCACTAAATATTAATTCTTAGATCTAATCTAGCCATCTAGGGATATTTTAACAGATATAATAATTATTATTCAATACATTGGAGTAAATAAACAGATCTAAAATACACATAATCAAACTTAGGTCCAGTGAGAGCAATAGAGTATTATACATTTATATATATTCTCTCGTGTAGTTTAATTTAAGCCATTTAAGCCAGGGAAATGTCCTACTGAAATCATTCGGTACAATTTCTTCTTAATTTTTTTAATTAATATTATTTACAATGTCATTATTCACTTTTGTAGTTTTGTTTTAGTTAGTAGCACTTCAGGCCCCATTTCATTTGAATACCTTAGACATGAACTTGATGACCAAAAGAATAATAAATGGATTTTACCCACCCATACCTTCCGACATCTATTCCATAAAGGTCAGTAAGTATGTAATGTTAAAAATAATGGTTAATATCGATGGCGTAGCGCACAAGTGTGATAAGTGACATTTTCGTAATTGTTCAGGAGAACAATTTTTAAGTTTGAGATGTTATAACAAATTCAAAAATGTAACGAACTGTACGACATCTATCGGAGTAAATAATGAACTATTCACTTACAACGTTTGGGCATAATGTGCAGAATTGTATGATTAAATTGATTATGCACTTAACTCATTTTTCAAAAAAATGTCACTTATCACACTTGTGCGCTACGCCATCGATATGCAAAATTATGCACAAAAATATACAAATATGTACAATAATTTATTTAGTCGAAATAACGCACATAACCCTTGTATTATCTATAAAATATTATACAGGCAGTAAATTCAAATAGTAGGGTTACATAATTTTTTTTAAACAAGTATTGCACGGTTTTTGTCAAGATAGAAACTTGTTAAGTAGTCAACAATTTGAATATAATTTTTAAACATTTACACTCGCATGCATTAATTCCTCAGTCTTACAAACACATAACAAAGAAAATTGTACGTTCTGAGTAACTTATTATTTAGAATGTACAATTTGCCATATTACGTTAAGATGGACGAAGACAGCGCATGCCCTCTTAATATTCATGTATAAATAATATTTTTATTAGTACAAACATTTTTTGTATAAAATAAGATTGTAAATTTTAAATTGAATATATTTTTATGTAGAATTAATTGAAATGTACCTTAGTGTCCATTATTATTGATTACTATTGTTTATAAAATGTGATCCACTTTTAAGTTTTAAAGACAACCATAATATAAGTAGTATCAACATGATTATCAATTTTTTTTTTTATTTGACTGGTATCCAGATTACAAAATTCATAGATAGCTGCATAATAGTCAACCACAAGTTCAGGCCGAATATATCACAGATCCTGAGAATAACACGGAGAGGATTAGCCGAATCTCAGAATACTGCACTTCCATCGTAATTTGATGATTGCCATATAAAGTACAATTATAATATTATTACAGTATAGATTCTAGACTATGATAATAATACACTTTTTAATAGTCTCTTTTGGACTAGAATACCATTTAAAATAGTTTGCCAATAACGGCTACAGGTATAACAATTGAAACCACCAAATACTATCGATAGAGTAAATGCACCTATTATAGAATCTAGTAGATTAATTTTTGTACAACCATCAATCAATTTTTTATTATATATTTTATTTATTTTTATACATCTTTATTAGGGCTAAACAATAAATGTACAACAATTGATTGACGATTTTTCTTTTTACATAATCAAGAATGAAAACGGTTACTAAAATTTGTATAAGCATTTCATTTAACATATTCAATATTTTTTTTTGTATTTATATAATACAATACATACGACAGTATTATCAGCACTCTTGGCGTAAAGCAACAGGTATTTGTTATTTTTAAAATAAATTAATTATAACTATAAATTGAAACAAATTTTAGTCCTACAGAACTGATAATAATAATAATAATTTTTAAAAAATTGTTCTTTATTATACATACTAGGTATGGTGTTACATCACGACTAATACGTTTATGATATTCAACCCATTTTCATTTTTAGGTATTTTGTTTACCTACATTAAACTACAGTTTAATATTATACAGGTTATGTATTTATGGTTTAAAATATTTTAATTATATAAATATATATATATTATATGTCTTTACATACACATACATAATATATTATATGTATACATAAAAATGTACAGAATTGTAAACAATATACCTATTGTAAAAATGCTTACATTATACTTAATGGTGTTACAATATCTAAACGATAAAAAAAGGACTATAACATACACTATGATTACACTATTTTTAAGGTCACGTTCGTCAAAAATCTTATGAACAATTTGTTTCATGTGATATATTTACCTAAAGAAATATTATTACATCATAAAATAATAAACTTATATAATTGATTTTGACAAACATACCTTATAGAAAAATTTACAAGTTCATACTGCACAGCATGGGTATAACCTTTTCAGGGTATTAACAAATATTGTCTACATGACTACGGTAATAAAAAAAAAATAAATACACATAATATAATATAACTCTTATATAATTATATATAATATATTATTTAATATTAATCTATCGACATACTTAATTCATTTTTTTGTTTTTGTGTAATGCTAAAACAATGTCACTGGTGAAGATCTGATAACCTTTTATTGTTACTGTACTATAAATTGTAATTAATTAATATTGTTAAAAAAAAATCTTTAGTATTTAATTTAATAGTATTTGACATATCACATCGTTTTTGTTATACATCCCATTAAAACCATTTTTTGTTGTACAAGCAGGAAATAGTACATAATATCAATTTAAATAGGTATCAGATTACCAGGTTTGTGCTATTCAACACCAAATTGCTTAATGCCATTACTTAATTAAACAGTAACATAATGTTTCCTGTAGTAAACAGTGATTACGACGTTACAAAAATTTACTCTGAATCATTAAATTATTGTGTTTACATAATAACAATAATATATACATAATATATATATATGTATTATGTATATATAATTTAGAAAATATGAATTATGTAAATTGCTGTATCAAAACATTTAGTAAATACATATGTATATATATATGAAACAATTTATTAAACCGCTTACTTATAAATAATTTACATGTTGAATAAATTATCTACTCAACATAGCCAACATTTATATGCTTGCACGGAAAACGTTAAAACATCAAGTTTTAAAAGATAGGTGGGCCAAGATACATGTAATACGTGTATATAATTTTTAGAAAATATTACACAAAGCACTCTGCTGATTCTATATCATCAGAACTAATTGTAATGATTAGTAACAACAATTTTTTAATTAGCGAGACCAATTACGTAATATATAATATGAGTATTATAAAGAAATGCATTAATAAAAAAGATCTTCGTTCATACGATGTCTCTTTGTTATAGTTATATTTAACATATACATATATAATATATTACATGTGAGAGTTAATTCTCATAAGATATGATGATCTACAATATATTAATATAATATTATAATAATAAATACGTTCTTACTAGAAAAGCGTAAATTAAACTTATCGAAATATTATTATCATTGTAAATATTTCAACACTTCTGCTCTAAAATGGTAGATCATCAGTCAGGGGGGAGGGGGAATTGCCAAAAATATTGCTATATCACATACAATTTCGGGCATTTTAGAACAAACATACATATGAATATAAAAATAGTAATAATATTTATTGGTTGAGGCTGTAATCGTTATTTATGGTATTCAAGTTACCGATTACAATATTATTTCTGATGTCGATTGTTTTATTATTTATAATATTATAAAAGTGGCATGTAAATTATAATCCCCCTTTTATTTCCACGTACTTCAATAAAATTCTACAGCCCATTAAATTAAATTTTATTCACGACATTATTTAATTTAATAAAAATAATTAATCATAAATTTATACATGAAAAAAAAAAAAAAATAAATAGTATTAAAACTAACGGGCATGTGGACGAATATATATCCAAATTACCCAAGACACCCCTGAAGAGGAAAATGTTTGGTAGTTTAGTAAAGCACATGTTTGCTAACCGACAAATAAACTGTTAGTAATTAATAAATGATTTGTATAATTCAATTATCTATTGGAAGTAAGTACACATAAAAATATTTATTATAAATGGCATAGGTTTAAACTATACGTAAGTAAAAGTAGAATAATTTAAAAATCAGCAAAAATCATAAAATTCTGGTTGTTTACATTATAATAGGGTGGGGGGAGAAGGGCGGTCATTTTTAACGATATTGGTTTTATTTAAATTTATTCTTATTGTAAAAATCAAAAGTATAATTAGATTATCGAAAATGAAAACTAATCATAACGATAATAAATTTAAAAAAATTAAATCAAATCAAAATTAAAAAATAAAATAATCATAACGAAAACGAAAACAAAATCATTAAAAAAACACTTTTGAACAAAATCGATTTTCCAGAACACGTTGAGATTAAAAGTCTCAGACCAACACGTTTGGCGGCGTACAAGACATTCAACCGCCGTTCCGTCTACAAATTTTTGAAAACCATTATGTTTTTTGTATATTTATAGGTATGTGTGTATTTATAATATATGTACGTATTTGTATGATGCAACCGGGTCATAGCTGGTCGTGGCAGTCGACGAGCGTGTTCGTTGTTGTTGGTTATAGACAAAATATTATAATAATATACATAATATTTCAGGGATGATAATAATAATAATAATAATAAAAATAATAATAATAATATAATATATTATTGTTATTGATTCGCGCTGTTCCCGTTCTCGTCTGGTCCGTGTATGCATGTACGCACGCAAGTGTGTGTTTGTGTAAGTGTGTGGGTGTGTGTAATTTTTTTTCGTACGGAAACCAAAAAACCTATTCGTCTGTGGACGGCAGGTTTTCGGTGTGTAGTCAGAGCTTTAGATCGTTGGCTATTTTTGACGCAATGTTCTTGAACCCGATCGACGTGCCCGATATGCGCTTAAACCGGACGCCGTTCAGCGACAGCCTGGGCAGCTTGCACACCTCGATCTCCCACTGGACCAGCGAGTCGGTGTTCGGGTCGCCGTGCACGCACAGCAACAGGAAGCGCTCGCGCTGTTCGTAATCGCAATTGTTGGCGTCCAGCACCTGTGTAGTACGAGAGAGTACGAGAAAGAAAAAAAACAAAACGGTTAATTGTCGGATATCGCGTCACGTTCATGATGTTGGTGGTTTTTGGGACACGACGACGACAGTAAAGCAGGGCAGAGGAGTTCACGGCCAGAGACAGAATGGAAAAACATAACACAGGTGTTTATGGGTTTTTTTTTTATGAAAAACAATTTAGGTCCAACTTGCGATGGAAAAATCGAGTTAAGCCGAAAGGACATGGTTCACTCTACGTTGTCTGTAGTGTCGTGTGCATTGTAAATCCGTACTCTGATCGGTTGTCGTAATCATTTTCGAAACTTCCGGTTAGGACTAGCACAATTTTTGGACACAACATGACAGACGATGTAGCAATGAACCCGATATAATAATGATAAGCGGTAAGTGAAAACATTATTAATATCGTAGTTGGAGCAACAGTTATTTCGAGTACAGATAGCCAGATACGTAAATAATAAACACTCATGGCTCAAAGGCACTGATTTCCATTTTCCGTGTGATTTTTTAACAAGTTAAGTGTTAGTTGGTGAATAACAAGAAAATTCCGAGAGCGGAACATAGTGGAATAGTACCTTTAAAGAAATAATAAATGTTATTACTTTCGAGGTCAACACCCTGCACGAGTGCCACAGGCCACAGAGTAAACTGTAAGGGAATTGAATTGGCCAGGACGAAATGTTATAATAAGGCGTTACATATGGGCCAAGGGAACGGACGCGGTGAACAATCGACCGAAATCGTTTTTCTATCTATTCAATACCTATTTTCCTGGCTAGTCGATAGATGATAATTCGGATTTCCATATTATATCTACCAGGATCACCACAAATTCGAGCGACTTTTATTTTTTTCCCTGTACTCAGGTGGTGGAGCACACAGTGAAAATTGAGTAAACTAGGATTTAAAATATGTTTTTAGCCTACTATTCAAGTAAAGCGGATTTATGACATAATTAGTTTATTCCAGTTCATATTGGTGGTTGGCAACCAAGGACATTAGCTAGATATTTTCTTCTGAGTGGCTAGACTATTAAGTTATATTGATGTATACAACGATATAATATATAAATTGATTTATTTTAAAAATCAGTATTGGGGAAAAATCAGAGGTTTCTATCAGATCGACTATACACCACACTTTATGAGCAGACAACTCACCTCTCTTATTTCGGCCATAATCTCGTTTGGGTCTCTTGTAGACGTTGTTTTCATACTCCATGTGAATCTCAACGATCTGGGTTTCATTTGATCGTCATTCACTGTATTACTGTTTTTAAAAATGTCAAATTCAGATTATTCAATGAAATAGGAACACGGCGTGCATTCAATACTTAGGTAATGAATACAATAATTATTAGATTTAAATAGTTTAACATAGGTACTGACGGTACAACAACAAACATCGTGACCAATATTCACTCGTAAGACATTACTATTAATACTTTAATACTTTATATTATATTTAATACTAATAATAATAATGCATGTTTATTCGCCGTTTTCCCGGTTTTTTTAATTATGCCTAAAATTGTATACCTAATAGGTATAGTATAATATAACGTAATTGTATAACACATTTGCAACATTATCTCGACTCTATTAAAAGTGGTTGTTTTTATAAAAAATTACATCAAATGCATTTTAGACTAAAATAATTTTGTATTTTAGAGACGTTATTTATACGATTACAACCGTTTTTTTTGCACATGCTAGTTTTCTAGGATCTCAATTTTGTAATTAATTTATTATTTTACAGAATGGTAAAATGCTAAAGAACAAAAGAAAAATATAAAATTTGTTTAATGTAGTAAGCATAGTTCACGAATTATTTTGAGCTTTCTAATGCTATTTTCACAATTGTTTTTCACTGTTTACGGTAATACATTAACATCTGTCTGTTCAAAAGTAGAGTCATTAATAATTTTGTTTCATTATACTTTCGTACATAGCTGTAGTTTTGTATCTGTTAAGTTTACAGAAAAATACATGGAATTTTGTTGAATAAATGGCATTGCAATATTTTCTTTGAATTTTAATGGAATGCTAACTGAAGCTTGTATTTCAATGGTTTTAGATCTTCTAATAAGAACGCACATATTTCAACATTTAAATTTACCTAACCTACCTAATGTAATATTATCTTAAGAGGACACTACACAGCCATGTGTTATTTCCGTCTCACAACTGCGTAACATACCAAATTTACGCTATAAAAGATCACATTGAACTCCGTTAGTTTAAAAATTAAAGTGAATTGACCTATTATGAAACTTGATGGTAAGAACATTATCTGTGTTTGTCTGTGGGTTATGATATAATCATGGTTGAAATATACAGGTTATTGCATATCGAATCGGATTGTTATCATAAGAAACAAAATAGCTGCGTAAAGGGATATCTTAAATATTAATTTTTCTTATCATCAAAAATAATTCGAAAAAAGCTAACAAATTCAAAATCCCGCGCTTAAATATTGGCTCCCTTTACGCTGCCCTTTTTATTTTCATCATCAAATATTTGAATGAGAAGGGGTATATCGTATATGTGCAATAACCTTGTATATTTCAACCATGGATATAATAGGTTAGGTATATAATATAATGTATATATGTATTGTCATAATATAGTGTAAATTAAAAATGCTAATAACGCAATTAAAAAGTAGATAATCTTAAAAAACCAACATACAAACACAGATGTTCCTATACCATCAAGTTTCATAATAGGTCAATTCACTCAAATTTTTAACTAACGGAGCTTAACATAATCTGCTGAGCGTAATTTTGGTATGTTACATACTTGTAAGACAGAGACAACAAATATCTGTGTAGCGTGATACCAGCGTGTGTTGTCTCCATCTTACAAGTGCGGAACATAGGAAATTTTACTTTGAGCAGAACACGTGTAGCTCCGTTAGTTTAAAAATTACGGTGAATTGACCTCTTATAAAATCTAAAGGTAAGATCATTCAGAATAAGATTGAACAGCTTCCCGCATGCAGACTGAGCCGCCGAACAGTGTCTGACCCCCCCCCCATGCAAAGGCTATGCTTTTTGCGATTAGCCGACAGTCATCGTCTGTCGCCTGTGCTAACCCTCTCAGCGATGTCCGGATTGTGGAAGGGATGAAACGTGTTTTGGTCGGCCGAGTGGTTCCATATTATTCTGAATAGAACCTACTAGGCAACCTCATGAGCTTTTTATTATACTTCAATTTTAAAACGAGATAAGAGTATTTTAAGATGTACAAACGATTTTAAATTTTAACTCATAACTCGCTTTAAAATTAAAATGTAATAAAAAGTCCATGAGTTTGCCTAGATAGTAATCTTATCTTTAGATTTTATTAGAGGTCAATTTTCTCTAATTTTTCAACTAACAGAGTTACTCGAGTTCTGCTGAGCATAAAAATTTCTATATTAAGCACTTGTAAGATGCAAAAAATACATGCATGTATCGCGTCATTTTAAAGAAACCTTTCAACTTTTGAACTAATAATGGAGTATTTAATATAACATCATGCCTTTGTTTTAGTTTTCATATTATTAATATCACATAGTATTCTGGTTGAGCCAAATCAAGGATCCAAAGATATGTCATTAACCTATCACCTTCCTTATATTATCTGATTAAATTCGTTAAAAAAAGGAAATATGATTAAATAAAGTTATTCAAATAAAATTCTTATGTTTTACTTTTATTTTAGTTTGCATCTAGTATCAATTATAATATGACATATATATAATCGAAACCATTAAAAACTTATAAGATAGGCTGTAAATGAAATATAATATTGACATAGTGTCCATTATTAATAATCATTTTGTTATTTATTTTTTTATGTTAGGTAATGACAACCAAGTTTTCAGTTTTAAGTAAAACTGTATAATAATTTAAAACATCCCATTATAATCCATCATTTATTTTATGAGGAATTAATGACTTCACTCATGGATATTACAATTTTTTTTTTACATTTACAAACAGACTGTTCTAGAACATGTAATTTTATATTTCAACTTTAAGAAAATCTAACAATTCAATTTACAAGTCATTCTATAACTATCAACATAAAGGAAGTAAAAATAAAATAAAAAGATATTGAGTTCTTAGTCATTGCATGACACGTAAAAGATTTTTCTAAAAAAAAATACAAATACATATACAAAAACAAAATACAAAAACACAACCATGAGTGAATAATTTCAACGTTAGTGGTTTGTTTAGTTATTATTTATTCATACAGTTTAGCTGTCAAAGTTAAAAGTTGAATGTATACAGGACATTATCTCTGAAGTACTGATATTTTGCAAGAAGTGGATACAGTGGAATGCTTAAATGAATCCACTTCTTGAATAAAATCTATAGATCACAACTTATCAGACATAAAGACACCGGTGTATATGAATAATTAAGATTAAAATAATCACAAATAAAGTATAAAATAAATTTAGTAAAAACTGTGAAAAACAAATAAGGATAAAGTAAAAATAAATCAAACAAATTTTAGAAACCTAAATAATTTTGTTTTTATCTTAGACAAACCAAGGTTTTGGCCAACATTATGTAGGCTCACCCCTTGTGGTATTATAAAAAGGTTAATTGAAAGTTCCAAATAAAATTACAATTATTATTTGCTTTTTGTTTTAGTTAGCACAATCTAAACAATATGTTAGTAATCGATTGGACTAGCCTATGTCAGGCAAAATTTGTTTTGATTTTACATACCTAACAATATTATTTTTGGGCAGATTTTGATCCATTGGCCTGAAATAAAATATAAAAAAAACTAATAAAATAAACAAAACAAAAACATAAACATAAAATAATAAGTAAATAAAATAAATCATAATAAATGTGAAATGCCGGTTTAATCCATAACACCTGATGATAACTTAAATGTACTCATTACACAAATTAAACAAATGAACAATCCATCCAAAGGATTTTTAATACGTATTTTTGTCATAGCATAGCAGGATATATGTAATTATGTATAAACTTTATACTAATAGATGGAATATTATACTAGTTCTCACAGAAACATGACTGCACTGGTTGGATGTTACCGTATTACAAAGCACATGCTCATTAGATAGGTGCAATATTATATTATAGTATATAATGTTTTTATACAATTGCGCAAATGCAGTCAGGCACAACTGGCATCAATGTCGGCTGCAAAACTGTGTGGTATTCTACCACAGCTAAAAATGTATGTAATATTGAGAAAGATCATCTATTAGTATAAGGTCTATGATTTTATCCATCATAAACATACATGTTTATATATTATTGCTATGCATATTATATACACAACAAATTAAAGTAATATTTCATAAGTAATTCATGTTGTAATAGTAGTTCTATGCATCGTGCAGCTGCCATGCCAATTTAAAGACGCAAAATAATGTGTAGTTTTACACTAGTGTTATAATTATATACACAATTGATTTAAGGTATAACATACTTAGTACAAAACACTTTTGGTGTGTTAACTTAAAAAAACAAATGTATGCCACATATCAAACAATTTATTACAAATCCAAAGACAATAACATTGGCTTAAAAATAATGTTTGTACACTAAGGAATAATTATAACTAATAATAATAATAATGATAGTAATAATAATAATAATAATTATAATAATAATAATATATGTATCATTGTAGTATACAGTAATAAAATATAGGCCAGAAAACGATTAAAATAATAAAATACATAATTATGCAACAGTTATTCGGGGACTAGAAAATACATAGAAAAAAAAATTGTTATTGGAAATATATTATATATACATATATGAATATTTGTTTAAAGATATAGTATATATGTATATAAGTAGTTTAATTTCAATTTAGAGTCTGTAGAGATAAGTAATACATATACTATCTAGTAATAATAATATAATAAAACACAATGACAAATTATGTCTTATGCAGTTAAATTAAAAATAAAATAAAATTAATATTACAAAATGCAATCAACATAAATTATGAGGTTTAAACGAGAGTAAGTTATTATTGATTTAACTGGACAAAAATGTAACTGTTGATTATAGTCATTTGGAACAATATAAATATGTATCCATATAGAATTATACACATACACGCACGCACACGCACACACACACACACACACACATTTATTTATACACAAATATATAACTTTAAAACTTTCAGATCTAAGCATGTCAACGGCGAGTAGCAGCATCCCAGCATAATTGTCTCAAAATAGTTAAGTGCCTGCCTGCCCCATTTTTGCTTGTCTTCTTCATAATTTAGTGGTAGCATGCGTGTGATATATGAATGGATATGGATGTATGATTTTTTTATTTGGTATTTTTGTTTCATATTAATGGGGAGTGGTCCTGCACACATATACACAAAAAAGCATCGATCACAAGATGGAAAAAATGACAGAAACATAAAAATTTAAATAATAATAATCTGTGCAGGGACCGTATCTGTGTGAAAGCTAGCCAATAGATTATTACGTGTTAAAATTTATGAATAAAAATTGTTTTTGAGAGCTGCCTTTATTGAGACAATTATGCAAGGTTCGCTAATAATACATGTATATATGCAAATCATTAAAATTATTTAATTATTGAATGATATATGGCACACAAAATTGTCCTAAATATGCTAAATAAAACTTAAAAAAATATTATTATAATAATTAAGACAAGCTTTCACAAGTAAGGCCTCTGCGAGTAAAATGCAATCACTGTTAGTAAGTATATAGTTAGTGGTTTTTTTCATTGCAGTTTTAATTTAAAAAAAGTGGAGAAGTGGATGGATGTTATATTGGATTAAAGTAAATAGAATATTTTTAGAGTTATGAAATTATAATGCAAGCATTAAAAATAGAGTTTAAAACAATAATAATTTAAAATAGGTTAACATTTGATTTTAACCACCTCACTTGTTACATAGGCCTTACAAAAATTAAATTGTATATGTTAAAAAATCACTTAAAAAAAATTAAAATATAGTTTAAACTTTAAAGTATTTACTTCAGTGACCTATGTTTTCCTTATTTAGAATATATGGAAAATGTTTTGTTATAAGACAAAGAATTTTCAGGATTTTATAAAATGAAAATTATAATTTAAGGAGCAATGAGTTTTCAAAATTAATATATAAGTACACACTTACCGTTTAACAAACTTGGATGATATTTTTGAAAAGAATGATGGCCTTTGCACAGATGGATCATGTGGACTGCCAGTATTGTTAGTAGGTCCAACGCCAGTGTAACCTCTATGTCTGTTTTGACCTGAATGAAAGGTCTGGCGACTAGGCACATTTCTCGGGAATGGCTGTCGGCTATTGACTGCTGGTGATGCAGGTGATACAGTAACACCCCTATATAATCAATAAATATATGAAAATCATTATAAACTAATAATGATCTCATTAAACATATTAATACGCATACACATACACACCCACACAAGTACGAGCGAGAAAACTATAACCGTACAATTTGATATGACAGTAAAATTAAAAAACTGATTATAATTTAAAGACATTACTGTCATAAAAAAAAAAAAATAGAATTTTCATGGTTAACACATTTTTTATGTGAAAACATAAAATAATTGTCTGTTTGTACCAAATGTATTTAAATTACCAACAAGACAATATTTTTTTAAACAATTACAATAATTTATAATATTGCATTATTTAATTACAAGGTTTTCCAGTTTTTTAATAATAATATCGGGTATCAAATAATTTTATGCAACAGTTTCATTCATAAGATGTCAGTTTATAAAAAGCTATAAAATGACAAACACTCTTCATAGTGAAATTGCCAGTTTCTTCCCACTATTTGAAAATTAGTAGTAGCAAAACAATAATACAAAATCATGCAAACCTAACTAAATCATTAAAAGTTTTAGAAGCTTTCTTTTAATGTTTAATATATTATTATTATACTATTGAAAATTATTAACATAGCAATGAGGTTATTAATTTAAATGACCATTTATAAATCAATGATTAATTAGAAATTTAAAAATTAATAATAGTTAGTGATCTAATTATATAGATGTATGAATAACACATGCATGCAAAAATATTTAAGGCTAAGAATAGTATTTTCATAGAATGTACATTTTGCACAATTTAGAACTATCCCAAAGTAATAGGAAGCGGCGCAGAAAATATATTTTATTTTACTAAATGGATTTTGAAAAGAAAAACTCTAGTCGCAATGAGCATTTTTGAGGAACAATATGTTCAAGAGTTTTCAAATGTTTAAAATGCGTACAATACACAACATGCATTTGATACTTCTAAAAGACGGTATAACAATCTAGCCACAGTTATAAAATTATGAACGGGAGGAATACCTCGGGTGGGCAGGAGGTTCTGTGGCATGTTCTGTGGCACTAGACACAGAAGCAGATTTGACGTGACCTTTGGATCGTGTATCTCCACATCCAGAACCAGAATTAGGTACAGCCAACGCACTAAACCCGATTACCAATGCATTGCAAACATTAATTCAAAATTATCATCTTACCACCAATAATAATGAATAGAATAAAATGAATGAACAAATGTTTATATTATAATAACAGAATATTAATCAGTGTTAAGGAGAAACAAGAAAACAAAAATAAAAAGTTATTTTACATAACATTATTATAAATATTATTATACGAGTGTTCATTTTAAGTGTGATCTTTGTCAAAGGTGTACCTTGCTGGATCCATTACGGGAGGAGTTGATACAGCTGCTTTAGCATCATAACTAATTGTACTCCTTCTACCCACTGACCCTCCAGGAGCCATTGACCGTTGTTTTGTTCCTAAGAAAGCAATTAACAGTTAGAACAGGAATTGCTTGCTAGATGTTCTAAATAAGTATAATAAAAAAGAAATCAATAATAACAAATACAAGTAGACATGCCTATTATATTTTCAGGTCTAGAATTTATTCTAGCCGTATTTTCTTTGATGCTGGCCGCGTCAATAGTATTTTGACGCTTGAAATTAGTACTTGGAATGGCCACATTATGATTGTGATTGGTTGAATTGGTGGTACCTAAGAACACCCATTTGTCAGATACAATAATAATTAAAGATAACATTAATTTGTTTGAAACAACATAAAAATGTTTCAAGCAATTATGTCATTGATTTATGAACTCAAATATTAAAAAACTTAACAACACTCAACTGTTACTTGTTTTATTTGTTGAGTTATGGGTTGTTTGTTGATTGTTTGGCGTATTATTGGTAGCAGGAACATTGCTAGTATTTGGATGGTTTGTGGTCAAAGCAGAAGTCTCACCACCAGATGAAGCTCTTCTGCTAGGTTTGGAATTGGTAGCAGATATTGATCTATGTACACCTCGATGTGATGGCGATTGATTAGTATTGTTCACGGCCACTACATTGTTGGTGTTATTCACGCCAGGATTTGGTCCAGTGATTCCTCTCAAAGATAATGAACTACCAGATCGAGAACCATCACTTTCAGGCTATATAGAACAGAATAATATTAATAATAATAATTAATAAAATCAAACACGAATACTCACATCGTTAGATTTTCTTCCTAGTAGCAAATAAGTGGCAAATATGTCATCATATTTAGCTTGAGATAAACTCTCTTCTATTTCTCCACGGCTATAACCCATGCCAACTAATATTTCTGTAACTCGACAGACTAGAACAATACAAGTAAATTAGGGCTTTAATATAATTTAATATATGTGAAGTAAAGACACATTAAACAATTTTAAAGTTTAATAGCTAATAGTGACGACTTTGAGGCATTGATTGAAGATATACCTATTCGTTTTGGTTCTTTGAAATCTTGTTCTGGTTCTACATAAGGTTTTAATTCATCTTCCTCGCAACCCAAGTTCATCCATTTGTCTTTCATGATGACCTATAATACATTTTCAGAATTATAAGTAATAGTAAAGCGTGAATTAGAGAAATTCAATAAAGTTAAAAAATATGTTTGTTTTACAACTAAATGTATATCTTACCTCTAATGATGCTCTTTTAAGTGGATTTAAAACAAGAAATTTTTTTAATAAATTTTCACAATCGGTTGACATGTAAAACGGTATTCTATATTTGCCACGCAATACTCTTTCTCTCAGCTCTCTTAAGGTAGAACCGTCAAAAGGCAGAGAACCGCTAACCAATGTATACAAAATAACTCCTAATGACCAAACGTCTACTTCTGGGCCATCATAACGCTTTCCTGTAATAAATAGTTTTAAAAAAAGGATTTTAATTAAAAATTAACAAACCATCTTACCTTGGAATAGTTCAGGTGCAGCATATGGAGGACTACCGCAAAATGTATAAAGTTTACCACCAGGTGTGAACTCATTGCTAAACCCAAAATCTGCTATTTTTATGTTCATTTCACTATCCAGTAATAAGTTTTCAGCCTGAAAAAAAAAATGAAAATGTAATTAGGTACTTCAAGTATATAAATGGTAATTCCTAATTACTACAATTCATGATTTAGTTACCTTTAAATCTCTGTGTATGATTCTTTTTTGATGGCAGTATTGGACTGCTGAAACAATCTAAAAAATACATGATATTTACACATATTTTTTTTTAACTGTTTTACTATGGTACATACTTGTCTAAATTTGGCTCTTGCTTCTTTTTCTCTCATGCGCCCGTGTAATACCAAATAGTCAAATACTTCACCTCCACTAGCATATTCCATAACTAAATATAGTGTTTTTTCAGTTTCTATAACTTGTAATAATTTAACTAAAAACAACAAAAAAAAAAAAAAAAATTAAATGTAAGTGACTTAAGAATAAATAGTCAGAGTTGGCAATATTTCTTGTTGACATTACTCACCTATATTTGGATGGTCCAACATTTTCATTATTCTAACTTCTCTAAAAAGCTGTAAGAAAAAAAAATTTAAATACAATAAAAACAACTGATTATATTGTACAATTATTTAGCTTTAATGAAAGTCAATAATAACGTACTTTTTGTAAACTTCCTGGTAATAATTGAGTTTTATCAATGATTTTAATCGCGACCTACAAACAGACAATTGTTACAATTTCCAGTTGGCTGATTTTAAGATATTATTAAAATTTTAAATTTAAAAAAAAAGACATTTACCTCCTTCCCAGTAGGTACATGTTTGGCTAGTTTGACTTTGGCGAAATTGCCTTTGCCGATGGTTTTGAGCAGTTTGTACTTGCCGATATGCGGCTCTTCCGATGAACGGCTGCGAGACGATCCGCGTGTACTTGTCACCGTGGAGGCACTGCTGCCTCCACCTACTCCTCCACCACCACCACCACCTCCAACTCCTCCTCCTCCACCTCCTCCTGTGGAACTGCTATTTGTGGCCGCATCACTGCCCTGTAAAAAACAAAGCAGAAACAAATTTAAAACACAACTTCTATATTGTACACGTTTCAAAGATAATGAACTGAATAAAAAATCTAAACCTCGACTTATTGGATACATACACACAACAATGCATATAGGTAATTTTAAAAATAACAACAAAAAGCGTTGTCGTCACGAGGACACATAATAATAATATGTACAATGGCTGACGCGTACCCATTATCCATATCTGTGGTAAATATATGTAATAAAAACCTAATAATACTATAAAATCATATTATATACGATGTACGGAGAATATTTTTCGAACAATCGCTTATTTTATTCGGTTTATTTATTATTATTTTTTATTATTACACATTCCGCCGTAGTGTCAGCCTATTTTCGAACCATGTTTTCCATGTCCCCACGCCGCGCCATCGTAAATATAATTTTCCGCAGTCCTGTACGAACGGAAAGAAAAGAAAAGTGAAAGCGCTCCGCGGAACAACATACCAACAACAAACAGCCTACCCAGCTACAACACACACGTCGTAAGCACACGCGCCCCGCCGAATACCCGAAAATATTACAAAAAACGCTCGTCCGGACACGCACACGCTAAGGTTGTGGACGTATTGAATTGCGTCACATACGCGAAAATTCGATACGGAGGGCAACATATCTCAACTAGCTCTTGACGGCTCAGTTTATGAGTTGTGGTCGGTATGAGGAAATCGGTTTCGACACGCCACGGCTGCTGAACTGAAGGCAAAAAAACATTGGGCTATTGCTACCCAGCCTAGCTATATTTGGTTATGTTTGTCGCATTGCACAATCGCGAGTGACGTAGGTATATTATATTTTAGGTACTTATATTAGTTGTACGGAGATGATTAGATATTTAGTTTTCTGGTCTTTATAAAAGCAACGTAAATACGATTTGCCTTTTGCCGAAAGATTTTATAAGTAAATACCATGAAATAATTATTTTTTTTACATTTTTGTGGAGGTAAAACATTTATTTCTGTATATGGATAAATTTTGACAGGTAAAACAAAATTCAGCGCAAATAGGGAGTCCCCCTTATAATGGGGGACTTGCTTGGCCATCCCAAATCTCTGTAATAGTTCTTATTCGAATGACAATTTTAACAACAAGATCACCGGGCAATAGTAACGGAATAACCACATTACCGAAAAGTCACCAAGGTTTCATCCACCACAGAGTTTAAAACACCGTAATTCGGAAGACGGCGGTGGGGCATCGTTGCGGAGAAGAATATCACGTAAATATGCTTCCGAACTCTCCGCGTTTTCGTTTTATGTACGATATAGGTACCTATGATTCGACGGACTACTACTACGAATTCCCTTAAACATAGTTACTTAAATATAGTTATAGATATAGTATTAGATATAGCTTTTTACATGCGACACTCCGATAGGACAACTGCCAGAAGAACAGAGTTAGCGGAAAAGCAAAAAATTACACTATGTTTTTATTATTTGTTTTAACGATATAATATATAGTTATTGTAAAAAAATAACGACAGTTAGTTTTTTTAAAACAATATTTTAAAATAAGTTAATATTACGTCTGTAACATACGCAAGCACTCGAAACAACACGTCATTCAATACAACGACAATCCGACATGATTATAATATTATGTGGGTAATGAAATTCCAATTTCAAACATTACAACGAGTATTTCCTTATATTAATATTTTCCCTAATATATTATAATATGACATACGTCTAGAAACGTAATATTATTATCGATATACAGAGAAATATCGATCATGAACATCGAATTTTTAAGACTGCTGCAGTTGGCGTAAGGTCTCCTCGGCGGGGTGATACATTTTATACGGCTTCTCAGAGGTGGAGCAATAACAAACATTAAGAGTAACTCAAAAATAAAAAAAAATGCAATATGAATAATGGATAAATACGTAGGTACACAAGAAATACACGATTATCCGTATGTAAAAAGAGAAAAGAAAAGAGATAATATCGGAAACAGGCGTATGACCTAACTAATCCATTATACTCGTTTTCCGTCGATACGTCGTCGACTTATGAATAAATGCACATAAAAATAAGAGAAAATGTCATTTTAAAGTACGGTTTTCGGTGAATAAACGATGAGATGATGTACAAACAGCGTGTAATAATATTATAATACATGTCCCTCTTCACATCGTCAGTCACCAAGTCGCATTGTGTTTCGCCTACCTATTTTTTATTATTTTTTTTTTGTTATCAACGCGCGAAAACGTCTTTTGACCGACTTTCCGTGAACAATAATAAAAATAATAATAATAATTATTATTATTATTATTAGTCCGTTTCGTTGGGATGTACACAATGACGACACACGCCTAACCTTATCCTGTAGGCTGAAACGGGTTAGGCGGAGGGGGGCCTTTGTCCGCCTAGAACGATATTATTATAACAACTCAAACACAATGATCGGAACGGCCGAGCTGCACACGGGGAAAACTATCTCAGGAAAACGGCATGGCGGCCGATCGAGCGTTTCGTGAGTTACATTCTATTATATTATATGTACCTACGTCCTACACACACCTCACCACGCACAGATATTATAATATTATATAATAAGTAATAACAATTATTATTATTATTATTTTTATGCGTTGGCACCGTTGAGAAAGACCGCGTAACGAAGCGGCACCGACACACTACGGTCGGTGGTGTCATGATAATTAAAACATTAAACGCATTATATCATCACGATAATCGTACTTGTAAGCGAATCGTATACACTACGGTTTTATGTTTTTTTTTCATACAAATTTTCGAGGCTGACGATAGTGTATCACACTCGCGATAGTAATTTATAAAACACTATAGGTAATACGCGCAGGCACAACGAAAGTAACCCGACACTGGCGATTTCGCCACGTGCCCGAGATAACGACGGCGATGATGATGGTGACGAATAGCTGTGGTAGAACGCACTGCTAATTATTGGTAATAATGGTAATAATAATATTATATACGCGGCACACGGTTACGACACAAGTCGTAGTACTCGGCAAATGAGGTAATAATAATTAATATTAGGTACCAATAACATTAAATTAACATTTTACACGTCTGAAACGCGCTCCGGAGACTTGTCGACTTATCGCGACGACGGTGGTCGTGGTGGCAGGTTATAAGATACAGCGTACACGATGCCAAATTAAAACTCTACACACGACAGCCACGACTGTCGTCATAATATCAGTGGTGTGAACATAAGAACATTAACTAGTTAGAAGGTTTTACTTGAATAGTTTAATTGACTGTTGAAATAACTTAGTTTTATTAGGTTGATTTAAAAATAATCCATCAAGTTAAAATTAAATATTATGTTTTTGACATTTCATGTCCAAACGGTTTGATACACTAATAAATTACTGAAGGTATAATATACACTTGTGTAGGTTTAAGTAAAAAAACACACATCATTGTAAAATAAATACATTCATCGTTCCACTCAGAATCTAAAAATCACCTAATACCTACTATAAAAGTAATTTTTTTATTGGGGATAGAGAAAATATGCCTATATAGTTTAACATTTTATCCAAAATTTACAATAAAAATATCTACTTCCTTTAAGCACATGCTTGTGGTGGTGGTAGAGTTAACAAATTTTTATATTATAAGAATATTTATGATTCAAGTACTGAAAAAATCCCTATCTGTAATTTTTTTTAGGCCTGTATACGGTTCCCAATCGTGTAAAAATGTCTTTTTTAATATTTATAGGCATTAAGTCGTAGTTTTTTGGACCTAAACAGTTTACATCACAGTATACATTTTTGACCAAACGACTTTTTAGAATAATCTATTCTGAAATCGAAAGTCCCTATTTTCTCTTTTCTCTCATACATTTTTCATATCCACATTATTTAGAAAATAATAGACTAACTATTTCTAAGCTAAGTTCATATTATTTTCCATATTAACTTTAAACTTAGACAGTGATATTTATCATATTTTAACAATTAACTTCCAACATAACGAGCCTGTGTTCACATGACTTAATTTGCAATAACTTGCTCGTATTTAGATAATTATATATAATATAATATGTATGGGTAGGACATGCCAAACAAATCGTCTAGGATTCTGAAAGCGAGTGGCCCCTGGATCCCCTAGATCCCTACTCTATCCACTTTGGTGGGTGACGTGGGTGATTTCCACCCCTTTACATCGACCGGATCAACAATACAAAGATTGTTATTGTTCAGACGTAAGACAATGAGAATTATTACGTTTCTTTGGTCCTTGTGTAGCGGTTACATAAAATAATATTGTAACAAATTTCTAAACATACATTTTAGATGAAAATTCTGAAATACCAGAGTACGACGATGAGCCATTTCGAAAAGGTCGTGCACTTGCGAGACGAAATAGGCGTCGTCCGGACGAGAGCAGTTTGACGACGACGGAGGCGATGTGCACAATATAAGTCGTTGTACACACACGTCGCATCGTATCGATTTATTTGTATTGCAGTTGGTAAAAATAATAAAATTAGTCATGGCAGCGCGCGTCCGTGTATTATGCATCACACGACGTCACGAGTCGGACGACAAACGACCACGTCTTTTTATGGATATGTTAATGAATCACACCGCTCTTTTACGGGGAGCTTACGCACGACGGACCACGTATATTATATACGTATTAAAATATTATATTCTCTATATTATTCTCGGCGTCGACGGCGAATAAATAAATAACACGATATTACAATATATGGCTAGGAGAAGAGCGATCGAAAGAGCCGATCCGACGTCTTAGGTATGTATCATAGGCAGAGGATGGACCGCGTCAATATATAGAGATAGGCAGGAGATGTATAATATATATATATTATATTATATTATAATAATATTACAGTGGCAGCGTTTCGAGAGACGTCTCTCGATGCGTGAAAGTCTCGAGTGATTTCCAGCGGTTCGACGAACCGGTTACGGTTGTTTTTCGACGTAACGCGAGTGT